GTTCTAGACAATCTGGTGCAGATAAACTGCACTATATCTGATTTCAAGTATTTTTCAACCCATTTCTTTATCAAAGACTTAGAAACGAAAAAGCTTGTTTTTCTCTTCTTTTTTATTATCTTAAGCTATTTATCTGTTTCATAAATGAGCTGGTAGCCACTTGAGTAGAATTCCATCACAAATATTATATATTCTAGACAATCTGGTGCAGATAATCAACTCCGGGTGGCAGTTTCCGGTAAGCGGATTTATTCTCCAATCGAGCTCATGCATTTCGTATGTTTTTTTCGTTTCTGTGAGCAGAACACCATGCTGATACTATTGCATCAAGTTGGCAGATCGTTCAAAACGTGGTGTGTAGCGTCATCCACATGAACCTTTCTCTTGTAATGAAAAGGAAGGGGAAGAGGGCAGGGGTTTTCGAGAAATCTTCCTCTACATGATAAGCACATTTTATTTGCAAATTAATCCATAACCTTCAGTTGATCAAATTAATGATTTTAAACGGAAAGCTGATGTCTCGCGCATGATAACGGCGGGAAAATCATTCGCGAAGTCTTTACAACACGAAAGTTGTCGAGACTGCAACGACGATTACCCCTTTCCTTGGAGACCGAGATAAACGATGCAAGACTTCAAATGCCTTATTTTAAGCCTGATAAAAACAGTTTGTTCAGAAAAGAGTGGACCCGATGTTTATTGTACTTGCTGCTCAACAGAACAACACCAAGCGAAGGTTCTGACACCATAAATTTCATACTTGATGTGGTTGTCACCCTCTAACCTGCAACGACCTATAGAAAACTTGTATTGTACATAATGAAGGTCCCTCAGAAGGATCTGAAGAGTGCAATACTCAGGACTGCCGTAAAAATTAGCGGAAAATTAGCGGCCAACTTCTTCAAGAAAAAATGTCTGAATTCAATGTACTATTTTTATCAATTTTGACTTCTCCAGTTTTTTCTAACTTAAGTGCCATAGAAACTTGAGAACAGATCACTCACCTAACCGAGGCAAAAGGCTAAATAATTATATTTATATAAGTAATTATTTAATCGTTATCATAACCTCATCTAAGAATCACGTGCACACCTGACTGGTCAATCCTTCCGAGATTTTGCAAGAACACTCCAATTTTCTCCTAACATCTCGTGGCCTCACCACGTTATGCAACCCGGAAAATGTGCTCCATTACTTTGATAAATGGTGTAATTGAGTCGACCCGAAATTGTCCTTAAACCTTGGAGGGGTTACTCATCAAACCTTTAGTCCTTACATGTCGTTTGTGATGATTTTCTGTAGTTGAACGAGAGTCTTTTTCTAAGCGAGGGAAGACCAAGTTTACGAGCCCATGGCGTATCCCTGACTCACAGCATAAACTGATGAGACAGCGACGTAAGTTAGATACTTGTTAAATCTCTACTGTGTGTCTGACAGGTTCGGGGAGCTATTTCTAATCACTAGGAATGACTCCAAATTACTAGCGTATACTCGAAAGTAAAACGAATCAACTCAGTGTAATTGTCTAATCGTCTCTCAGGAAAAGACAACTGGAGAAACAAAACGAAAAATTATGACAATAAACCTGGTGTCATTTTTTAAGTGAGCTGCACAAAAGAGCACAGCACGTGAGATAAACCAAGTACAGCCCGTATGGTAACTGAGAGAGGCGTTAAATTTTTTTTAATCATTCTTTCAAGGTGATGGTTACGATGGCACCCAACCTGACTTTGTTCATCATCCTTAAGGTAAAATAACAAATAATATTTCACTCCGCTCCAAACAACTATTCCTTTATATCTTTTAAGAAAAAGAACCTCATGCAGTGAACACGGTGGTTTTCTTTTCTTTTCTCTTTGGTGTTGTTGTTTTTCTTTTTGAGTTAGGAAATGTACAAAATTCTAAAACTTTAAGTGCCGAACAATTTTTCTATCACTTAAAATCTCTTTGCTACTTAACTATTTTCAGAGGAAGGATCGTATTCTGAGCAAGGATGTAATAATATATTCCATTTCTAAATTCTCCGGATTTTTCATTTCAAGTATTCTGTTTGGTTCACTCAACTCCGGTCATCAGCTCGCGCGCTAATGTAATAATTGGTAAATAATTGGTAAATATTCTGAATGCTTTTAAAACTTGGAATAAATTATAAAATAAACTTCTTTTTTTGTATTCCACAGATTGATTTTAGAGGAAGGGAACTCAAGTGCTACAAAATGATGGCCAATTTCGAACGAGGATTTGATTTTATGGTTTTTTAATTTTTAGGTGTTGGTCAGATATCATTAACATGTATTACGTCTTTCAAATCATCTCACGTAATCTTAGGTCTTACTCTACCCTGCGCAGCTGTTAAGTTGTTAAGGCGAGGTACTCTTTGGCGGTCGTCGCTTAGCGCTCACACGAACAACTCAGTCAGCTGCGCAGGCTACAGACGAACCGTGAGCTTGAGCCGTTGATAGCACACAAGAATAAAAGCATAGTTGATTTTATTCAACTCGTTGATAACACATAAATAACTTCGCGTTTTGAAAGAAACGTTTAAGATGTTGGTCTTAATCACTGTGACTTACCAAATCACTTTCTTGTGAAACATTTGCATCTATCTCGTTCAGCAAGCAAGCAGTGAGTTAATTTCTTACCTTTAAACGACATATTACCGGTTACTGCACTCTTAAACCTAAAATGTTCTACCTCCAAGGCATAACGACCACTTGTCTTCCCTCGAGCGAGTCACTATGAATGAATGGCTTCACAGAAAAATCTTTTGGAACCATTCTATTACCTAATAACTGAGAATGAAATAACTGAGAATCAAGCTACACAGTAAATTCACGCCAGAACTAGAATGATCAAGCTTTTATTAGAACGCTTTTCAATCGAGTGATTTAAAACCAAAGCAAAAATAATCACCGATGGTCAGTCAAGAAAAAATAGTTCATAGAGCCGATGATATCTGATGCGCGGGAAATCATGAATGAACAAGTCGCGAGTGGTTTTAGTTTTGCATCTGATTAGTTGAGAGAGTGGCACGAGTTTTCTGAACCAATCACAGAACGAAGTAAAGAAAAACCGATGTGGTCCCGAAATATATCCGACAATTAATCGAAATTTCTCTTGATAGATGATCCAAAGTTTTGTCAAGTGAGGTCTTTTGCCAGTTGTTTTGGAACGACTAGGCCTTAAATCTTAAACAGTAAAGTTAGTTCTGGTAGATAATGATTCATTTTGACAGGTTTTACGAGGATTTTCAGGTAGATAAGATACGAGAACACTACGACCTTATTAATGTATTGTTGTAACGTGTTGATCATGAATAAAATAAAAGCAGAGAAGTACAGATAAATAACAAGTACATATAACAACCATGTTTTATGATTGACATGTAAGCGACCTACAGAAAAAAAAAATTCATGGGCAGGGGAAAATAAATTACTTTCTGCTGTGTGGTGTGCTGTGCTATTTTTCTTTATTTACCTATCTTTTTGCGGCTCGATTTTGTGGTAAAGCTATGAAAATTTCGCTTCAAACCGATTTTATTCAATGGACTAAATTTAGGCGACGAGTATAATGGGTCATTTTCTGAATAATTTAGTAGAACTCAATAAAGCAAAGAATCAAAGAAGAGATACGTTTTAGTAGAAAAGGGAGGACGTTTGGGTAGTAACCAATGAGAGAAGCCTATTTTGTACCAGGTGACAGGTTTTAGTCCTGCAGTATTTTCTTCAATGTAACAGGCTAAAACCTGTTACATTGAAGAAAATACGCTTCTCTCAATGGTTACTACTCAAAAGTCCTTCCTAAACTACTCGTTTTCATAAAATGCATTTAGATAATCTAAAAAAAAAAATCTAAAACAGAGAGTCCGAAAAAACATTTTCGCTAGATTTGGAGTTCGGCTAATAAACGCTATCAGTAGCTGCGAATTGTCAGGGCTCTGACATTGCACCGTACAATTAATATCAGAGAAGTCTTTCGCCGAAGTGAAAAAAGGAGGACGATTTGGACTACGGGCCAGATAGTTTGAGGGGAAATTTAAGCGTCTCTGGACCGTCTTGCAAACGAAACTAGCAGCAGTATTGTTATTGCCAAGGACAGAGGATTGCTTAAGAGAAGTAGTGCTCTTCAGGAAAAGCTCCCTTCCTCTGTCAACAGGGCAACGGCAAACGTCACTATACGTCAAAGGCACTGACCACAGCAGATGAAAGCTGTTGTGGACTTAACTGCTTCTTATCATCCTGTTAATAAAGTCCCTCATAATGACAATGTGGTATATTTGTCTTGACCACGAGGTTTTCAGGAACACCACGAAAGAAGAGGAAAATGAGAAAAGAGAAAATAAGAAAAGACGAAAATGGCGAGGAGTACGTCATGTATGAAGAAAGTCCCAGTGGGTCAGCGGAAATATCTGTAACTGGTGGGCCAAGATTTTTTAGTCAGGCTTTTGATGACCTTCATGTCACAAACCTGAGGAAATGAGAAGTTATGGGCCAATTATCACGGGTTGATTGAGTGCCCGATATCGCAAATGTGATACATTTGACATAGAATGGGGATCCACAGAATAGACTCCTCAGTTGCTGTTAAAGTGGAAATTGAATAAAAATGGTTAGAAATTCAGGAATATTCCAAATGTTAATTTCGAATTCACCAAAACCACCCCTCCAACCTAATTCCGTCAAAAGGTCATCAAATGAAATCAATATACTGATCATTCACTTACAGCTTGCATACATTTGTTTGTATGAATATGATGTGAAATAAACGGTTTGAATTTCTTGATCCAACTAAAAAAGAAAAGGTTTCTTTGGATTTCTGCCTAGTCCGCATATTTCCATCTTATTTTTTATCGCTCCCCGCTTTGAATATCGTATTCGGACTGTCGTAAGTTTAAACGAATAATAGCGTAAATAAAGCAATACTTGAACAACAGCTTTCCTAGCAACCTGAAAGGTTGTTATGTGAATCAAGAATGTTCTCTTTCTCGCCATAAAATTCACTACATGATAACTTAGTTGTTTCACTCCTAAATCAGCTGCAGTGTGTGACACAAGGGTTGGTAAGTTGAAAATGCCTGCTTTTTCCTATATCGGTTTCTAACGTTAGGTGCGCAACCTTTGAAAACTGGTTAGAGCAATTTACCAGATGTTTTTCATTAAACTTAAGATATGGTTAATTCACTGTGATGTTGGACAGCGTCGCTTGCGAATGAAGGGTCAGCTCTGTTGTCGTTCTGTACACAATTCTTCTTCTTCGAATTGGTTCTAGTGTTTATTGTCCTTTGTTCAATTGTGGTTCGAACGCGAAAATGTCCGGCACCCACGATTCTTGCGTCCCTATCACTCTTCACATTTCGCGAACTAGAATACATAGTCATAAACAATTACTTGAGCTTTGTACTTGCCATATGCTAAGGTTTCGGAACTTTTTGAGCAACCATTTCACGCGGACTCTTATATCTTTTTAATGTCTTGGGAAAACTGTACACTATCTTACAAACCGAAAGCTGAGCCCTATTAGCATTCTATTTTTAAGCGCGTCCCGAAAACTTTCGTTTCACCGCTCATGACAAAAGTTACCACTATCGCTAAGATAATACAGCATGTGATATCAATGTTTTTTTTTATTGTCTTTCTGAGGCAGCCCCGAGGAAAGTGCGTCAAAGGCTGCCTGTCGGGCATACTTAGAACTTGCCTTTTTCGGTTCTGTCCTGGTGTACCGGTTCACAAGGGAATTACCATTGTTCTGTCTTTGTTTAGGAGTCATCGGTTAGCTATTGTGTATTGTTTGGTCTTTTGTATTGGCTCTTGTGAACCGGTACACCAGGACAGAACCCCTTTTTCTTTTTGAACAATCGCGGAAATTCTGCATGCATGGAACGGCGTTCACAACTCTTCAGAAAATTATATGTGTTTTGGTGAATTTGTTGAGCTATATATTTCACTTAAATACGTAGCTAGGTTTACGAGTTAACATCAAGCCGCTGTGTTTACAATGAATCTGAGGGCAAATGATAATATCGCTGAGATACCTGGCTCGGCAGTGAGGGTGCTTCGCTCATTCAAACTGGAGTAGAGTAGAATACATTTTTCGATACCAAGAAAAGAGATCCATCAATTTTTTTCGATACATAGCCAGTCCCTGAAAACGAAATAGAAGTTGCGTTTAAATTCAGCAGTACTAATCGAATTGTTTTTGAAATGGACAAACGTTACCAAGGTTATCACGAAGAAAGATCCTTTTCAAATGTAGATGTCTCGTCAAGGAGAAGTGTCAGAAAAGTGCACCCACTTAAGAGGTCAGCCTGTTTATTGCATGCGTGTTAAGTTTGTTTTATTTTTCCTTAACAATCAATGATTCCAGAAGAACTGTCGTGTTAAAAAAGGTTGAAACCCTCCCAGAACCATATACCATGATTATGTCACGGTTCTTCAGGCTGTGCTTCGGGGCTTTTCAATTGCATGACGATCCATGAATTTTTTTTTTTCGGATAAGTTTTTTTTATCAAATGTGTAGAATTATAAAGAGCTAATTGAACCACTATGAGTCTGTCTGGGACTTCAGTTCATCGGTTCAAAATTCATTCGAGTTGAAATTGTAAATTAAGTTTATCAGTGGAGTGACGCACTTTTCCTTAACGAAATGCGATAGAGAAGACAATGTTTACAGATGCTTTCAATTTCAAAAATATAAAGCACGGAGATGAGTCAAATTGACTATTTCATAAAGAAGGGTTTTAGCACCACGATACCCACATTTTCAGTTAAGGCAGGATGAAATTAGAAAGCAAAATATTGGTTTTTAAACTTAGACCTGTGCAAATGTCATTAATTACTACCTTACAGTTAGTCAATGATATGTAATTGTATTTCATTTCAACGTGGATATCTCGAACAAGACATTTGCCTCAAGGCATGTCAGACTTTTTATGAAAAAAATTTCAACTTAATTCAGATTTAATTTTTCAATTCAAGTAATGAGGAGGATAAACGCGTTAAGCTGTGGGTGTCTTAAAAATTTGTTCGCTCTACTGCCTGATGAGTGATTCCAGTTGAAGTGCAAGAAATAAATCCTTGTTTTATTATGAATTTCGCCTTCTTTCCTTCTAGTCCACAGATATATGGAACAGTATGAATGATTATTTTATCTATATTTCCTGCTTTAACTAGTAAATGCGATGTGTGCTTATAGCAAAATAAATAGATTTAAAAAAAAATTCCATTGTTTCTTTTGAATAAATGAATTTTGAATAAAATATTTTTTGTCCCATAAGCCAGGAGTCCATACTTTACAAAGAAACAGGACGCAATATCTACGTAGTTTGATCAGGTCTTTCTCACATGGATAGAATTGAGTTGTCTTTTGTCACAGGAACCGAAAATATCCTTGTTCATATTATTTTGTAATTCAATCTACAGATTAAAATGAAGCGAAACTCGCCTCTGGTTGCTATCATGGTAATGGCGTCAATTTACGGTGAGTAAACTACGAGCGCAATCAACCTCGTTATTAATTTCTTTTAATGCTGAACGAGTTATGGAATCATTCATCTGTCAATTTATCTACTCATCGTTGTTTGTTTGTCCATCGACATGTTTCGCTTTTCGTCAGAGCGAGTTGCTTTGACGAAGGGCTAACGCTCCAAACGTAAACTTTACGTTATGTCTTTACGGTGACCAATTTACATCATTAACGTAGTTAATAAAAATTGAATCATCTTGAGGATTATTTGAGTCTAGGTCAAGACGTTAAGATTAATCTACAACTGATTACTTGTGGCAAACTGATTACTGTCTACAACTGTGTACAACTGATTACTTGTGGCCGCCGGATAGTGGATAGTGGATATGGATAGTGCGCTGGACTGTTGTGCGGGAGGTCGAGGGTTCAAGCCCCGGCCGGACCAACACTCAAGGTCTTAAAATAAATGAGAAGAATTTGCTACC